AAAGCATCAATTATTCTACAGTCTTCCTTATTCACTATCCAGCTTTCACATGCATATGAGGTTACTGAAAATCCCATGGCTCAGGTCAGGCACACCTTAGTCCTCAAGCTGACATCTTTGGTCTCCAACACTTTTAAAAGGTTTTGTGCATCAGATTTGCCTAATGCAATATGTCATTTGATTTCTTGACTGCTGCTTCTGTGAGTGTTGATAGTTGATGCAAGAAGAATGAAGTCCTTAACAACATCAATCTTTTCTCCATTGATAAGAATGCTGTTAACTGATCCAGTGGTGAGGATTTTGGTTTTCTTTTCATTGAGATGTAATTCATATTGAAGGCTGTGCTCTTTGATCATCATCAGTAAATGTTTTAAGTCCTCTTCACTTGCAGCACGCATGTTTGTATCATCTGCATATTGCAGGTTGTTAATGAGTCTTCCTCCAATCCTGATGCCAGCTTCTTGGATTATTTGCTCAATATACAGGTTGAAAAAGTATGATGAAAGAATACAACCCTGTCACACACCTTTCTTAATTAGTTAAATCATTTATAACCTTGACAGTTTTTTCCCATCAATACCTGAAATTTATGCACAGGAAGAACATCAAAAAATTCATGTGCAAGATAAAAGCTGTACCCTATTTAAAAACAGAAAGACAAAAATTAGTATATTTAAAGTAATTAATTACTTCTTTTAAACATTAGCTTTGGAGACAAAAATGCCTAGTTCTTCAATACAGGAACCATGAGGCTTCTAGTCATCACTACCACAGACCCGTCCAAGCCTATTCACAGGAAACCTACTCTGCAGGACACATGCAAGAACAAAGATCACTCTTATCTCCACGTAACAGAGTAAGAGAAACAACATATCAAAATTATCATTCAGGACTGGAAGAAATTAGAACTCAAGTTAGTTAGAACTGGAAGAAAATTTGAATGTCATAAAATCAACATAGCAGGCTGAGGCCAAGACTGGCTGAGCGCTTTGCCTAGGATGTACCACCGTTGTAGAGCAGAGCTCAATCAATACAGATTCTTGGCTTGTTCAGGGATTTTGCCACCACATCTTGTTTCTTTTAGGCAAGTAAAAATTTCAAAAGCTCAGATATTTTAGTTAAACCCATCTATTAACACTTGTTCCTTCAGCCCAACTGCCTACTTCACTATCAGTGCTATCTTAGCAGTAAGGAAAACCTTAACAGGTACTACATGAAATACACTGCTTCTTAATGATAGGCAATTTTAGTTTCTACTATGATGTTGTTTGCTAAGACATAGTTAGCTATTGTCTATGGGTGAAAGTCCTGGCAGAGATAATCAATGATGCTGTTGTAAAAGATTGTTATCCAGGGGGTCACTAGTGTGAGCTCAGGTAGCATAGTTGTTCTGAGTTAGGCTGCTAATCTCAATGTCAGCAGTTTGAAACTACCAGCAGTTCTGCAGGAGAAAGATGAGGCTTTCTGCTCCCATAAAGATTTATAGCCTTGGAAACCCTATACAGTACAGGGTCACTATGAGTCAGAACCAGCACATAACCACCAACCACCACCATGACTAGTGTGAGAGGTTGTTATCAAAACTCTTTCATTCATTAATGCAAAAGAATTACCCTTTGGGATATCCTGCAGATCTCGGTACCAGGAAATTGGAATCCCAGACTTAGAAACCCCTTTCATATATACTGGGGATCCAGCATTTTGCTCCAAGGGGATTTTCTCTTCAGTCAGTGTCATTGCTTGGATCTCACTTAATTTTTGGCTGACCTCTACCAGATGGATGGAAATGTCACTGTTTTTCAGCACAGATCCAAGCTGGCTGAACACCTAGATACAAAATGAAGAAAAAACATATTCTTGGCAAAATACAATGAGTTAAGTGTATTTCAAGATTTCTGATCTTTATCTTAAGGAGCTCTGGTAGCATAGTGGTTACAAATCGTGCTGCTAACCTCAAGCTCAGCAGTTTGAAACTACCAGTTGTTCCACAGGAGAAAGATGAGGCTTTCTGCTCCCGTAAAAATTTACAGCCTTGGAAACCCTGTGCAGGGCCACTATGAGTCGAAACCGACTCCATGATACTTAACAACAACAACAATCTTTACCTTGATAATTTGCTCATGTCACAGTAGAATGTTTAGATTGTTTTTTTCTTCTTCACACAAGCACCTCACCAGCAGTTTATGAGAAACATAATCTGTTATTATTAAGTAAACCACCCATATGAAAAACAACAGTACATAATTTGGTTTTCTACTAATGACAAACGGAACTAGAATTAACAAATGAAAATACATAGCAACCAATGAAAATAATGATTCAAATTATGGAGTCTAAATAAAGACCAAGAATATGTATATTGCCTTGATACTACAAAGCTGCTGAGTTTATGAAATAACTTTCTCTTTGGGATGATTAAATTGTATCCACAGGAAATCAAATTTTACTGGTATCAATAACTTGACAGTTTAACCCTATGATACTATCACATTTTCTATATTTTTCCTTAAACTACACATCTTTACAACTATAAATATAAGAGAAAAAGAGAAAAACTTACAGAAAATGCTAATATATCTTACCCATCATTAATGTTAAGAACCCAATGCCAAAGGCATAATGCACGTCAATATTATTTTTCATTTAAATTAATTTCACTGGTGAATAGTCTTGTAAATCAGAGATATGCAAATAGAGTGGCAAAAATTATTTGCCCAAATTTGCAGGGTTTCCGGAGAGTGGGTGGTGAGTTTGAAATGCTGACCTTGAACTTCGAATCAACCTTGTGGTCCAGTGTTTATCCTACAGCACCACACCAAGATAAGCACTTCTGTGAATAGCTAACCATTGACAGTTCAAATCCACCAGCTACTCCTTGGAAACCCGATACAGGGTCACTATAGGTCGGAACCGACTTGACAGCACTTAACAACATTCTCGTTACAGAGATGGGACATGACCCTGATTTTTAAGCCCCTGTGCCCTTGCCCTCCACCCTCAGATGTCAAGACCATTCTGAACTTCAAGTGCACTTTTCTTTAAAATTTGACTAACCACATTTGTAGCATCAAACATACAGTTTGATGCTGATTATATCTTAATTTATATATTCACAGTATATGAAGGCAACTGCAAATGGCTTTTTTCATGAAACATCATGTTCCTTGTTTTCTAATGTTTTATTCTACTGGAATACCATGCATTTTTCTACCACAGTATGACCATGCTACAATGTATGTATCCATGTTTCATTACTCCGTGAAGATACTCTAAATAATGCTCTCTATTCTTATACATATCTCCCGATGTAAATATGCACAAGTCTTTCTAGGGTATATGTCTAGCAGTGAAAGTGCTAACTCTTGCAGTATAAGTAACACTGATGTTAGTAGATAATGTGCCAAACCTTTTCAAAGTGGTTGTACCAAACAACATTGCTTCTCACCTCCCTATCCTCACCAAAACTGGTTGTCAGACTAATTTTTCACGATCTGTTGGCTTATTGTGATTTTAATTTTCATTACCTCGATCACCAATAAGTTTAAATACCTTTGCATTTTTATTGGCCACTTGGATTTCTTCCTTTATGAGGGGTCTGTTCAAGTCTCAGGCCTTGGTAATCTATTGAGTTATCTTACTATTGATTTAAAGGGCTTCTTTATTCAAGGGGGCTTCAAAAAGTTCAACTGGAATTAAAAGTTAATGGAATTTTCCATGAACTTTTTGAAGCCCCCTCGTATATTCTAACCATGAGATCTTTATTGGTTATGTTGTTTATTGTTTTTAAGTGACTTCGAGTCAGTTCAGACCCATAGCAACCCAATACAGGGTTTCCGAGGAGTGGCTGGTGAATTTGAACTACCAACCTTGTGGTTCAAACCAATCCTGTAGTCCTACATTTATCCTATAGCAGAAATACCTTCTCTCATCTACCTTATCATTCTATTTATGGTGTCTTTGAAGACTGAAAAAATCTTAATATTAAAATCGTTGAAATGATTTTTCTTTTCCCTTAAAGTTTCTGCTTTTTTTGTATAATTAAAATTCACTTTCTCAACTAAGAAGGCAAATATATTCTCCCTTATTGCCTTCTAAACATTTTATACTTTCAGTTTTTACATTTCTGTCCCCCTTTTTTAAGCTTACAAAGACAACAATAATTACCAATTCATGATGCTATACTGACATATTTTAGCCGAGAAATAAGAACTCAAGAAGGTAGGACTGAAAGCAAAAGAAATTCACCAAGTTTACAAATAATCAAAAGTAGTAAAACATTCTTTTATTACTTACCCTCAAAATATCTCCAGTGAGGGTACCCCTACCTGGACCCAGTTCTACCAGTTGGAAAGGAGAGCTTTTTCCAGTGGCCATCCATTCACTAATGAACCATATCCCTATTAACTAGGACAAGGCAAGAATTACATTGAAGTCTTATAAATTAAACCACAATATAAGCTTCCACATAAATCTGTACTTTAGACCTAAAGGAACATGTCTGCAAACATCCACAATATATACTATTTACTATGTATGTACAGACACACACACACACACACACACACACACACACACACACACGGAGCTCTGGTAGCACAGTGGTTATGAATTGGGCTGCTAACCTCAAGGTCAGCAGTTCAAAACTACCAGCTGTTCCATGGGAGAAAGATAAGGCTTTGTGCTCCCGTAAAGATTTATAGCCTCAGAAACCCTGTACAGGGTCCCTATGAGTCAGAACTGACTCCATGGCACACAACAACAACAACACAGACACACACATATAGGAATTTCACTGGAACTATGTCATAAAAGGAGTCCTGGTGTGGCGCTGTGGACTAGTGCGTCAGACTGCAAAGTCGTTTGAACTGCAAGATCGGTGGTTCAAGCTCACCAGCTGCTCCTTGGAAACCCTATACAGAGTTCCTATAGGTCGGAATCAACTCAATGGCACTTAACAACAATATCATAAAAGATACCAGTAAGAAAAGTTTAATAAATGGAGATATTGGTTAAAAGGTCCTTTTAACACAGATAGGAGGATATAACTTACAGAGAGATACTATTATTTTAAAGTAAACATAGCCATGAAATATGAGGTCATTTTTCCATATTCATGTTATATAATAATAATGATATAGCTCTTGTTGTTGTTGTTGTTGTTAAGTGCCGTCGAGTCTATTACAACCCATAGCGACCCTGTATAGGGTTTCCGAGGCTGTAAATCTTTACGAGAGCAGAAAGCCTCATCTTTCTCCTGCGGAACAGCTGGTAGTTTCAAACTGCTGACCTGGCGGTTCACAGCCTGATTCGTAACTACTACGCTACCAGAGCTCCTTGATATAGCTCTTAGGTATAATTAATGATTTTCATTGCTTGGATTCTACTTTCGCCATTTCTGTTTCTAAATTGATCAACCATAGGTGCACGAAAATAAATGAACTGGATGCCTAAAGAGAATTCAGAGTTCCTTAATGGAGATGTCTACTGTTGTTGTTGGTTGTTATGTGGGGTAAAGTCGGTTCTGACTCATAGCAAGCCTGCACAGGGTTTCCAAGGCTGTAAATCTTTATAGGAGCAAAAAGCCTTATCTTTCTCCCACCAAGCAGTTAGTAGTATCGAACTGCTGACCCTGAGGTTAGCAGCCCAATTCGTATGCACTACGCAACCAGAGCTCCTTGTTTGTTGTTGTTGTTGTTGTTATGTGCCGTGGAGTCAGATTCCAACTCATAGCAACCCTGTATATGGTTTCCGAGGCTGTAAATCTTTAGGGAGCAGAAAGCCTCATCTTTCTCCTGCAGAACAGCTGGTAGTTTCGAACTGTTGACCTTGCAGTTCACAGCCCGATTCGTAACCACTACGCTACCAGAGTTCCTAGTAGCTATGGTTAAATTGGGGTTCGGGGTTCATCTTGATCTTACTAATTTCTCAGCAATCTTTTTAAATTTTTCTGTCTTCTTTCTTGGTACTCTCTTTCTCCACCTTTCCTAACATCTCCCTTTCTTCTTCCATTCTCTTATTTCATCTTATTCATTACCTTCTCTTTTTTCTATTTTTTAAAATATAAACTTCTCAAATGTCTTTATTATTTTCTTCCCTCTGTTCCATCAGTACATAAACTACTATAAAATTGCAATTGGCACTGTAGGATAGGCACTGGACTGCTAACAGCAAGGTCGGTGGTTCAAATTCAACAGCAGCTCCCCCAAAACCCTATACCCCCCGTGCCCTGTCTCCACAAGTCAACAGATATTAACAACTACAACATACACACAATAAACTGGAAAATGGAAAACATACCACAGAAAAATATAACTTGATCTGATCTAGTGTATTGTTTTTATTAAGCGTAATCGCTTCAGTTCCAATATATAGCGACCTTATCTCCCCTGTGGAGCAGCTAGTGGGCTCAAACTGTGGACCTTGTAGTTTACAGTCCAGTGCTTATTATGTGGAGCCACTGCACTCCCATTTTATTATATTTGAGTTTCTTTTATAGTTTACATTGGACATTACCTCCCCAAAGATCTGACTTATTTCAGGTGAAGTAATGAAATCTCCTTTTTCTCCTAACATGTCATGGTGCACATAATATCCCTAAAAAAAGAAAACAGAGACAACAAATTAACTTTCAAATAAGGCTTTTTGAGTCTCAAAAATCTTACATCTATAAACAATGAAATGAACAATTCTGTCTTCTAAATAAGCAAAAGCATGCATAGTGTCTTTACCTAAACTTTATCATGTAATATAGTCATTCTGTAAATGACAGAAAGCAATTACCATCTCCTCCTTTCCTCTCCCCACCTCACAACCCAACACAGGAAGATCATACCTACTACCCCTTCAGCCTCCTTTATTAATTCCCACACTTTCTATTTCATATTAGCTCTGCTTGTTGCTCATGTTCTGTTTCTTGATCTAAGCGCTGGTTATGTGGTAGTGTTCAACTTTGTGAAACCCCATTAACTACATAAAAGCCCACACCAAATCCACTGCCACCGAATCCGTTCTGACTCATAGCCACCCTGAAGAGGGTTTCTGAGGTTGTAAATCTTTGCAAGAACAGAGAGTTTCATCATTCTCCCAGAGATGGTTGGTGGTTTAAACTACCCACGTAGCAGTTATTGCTTATCCACCAGGGCTCCTTCATTAGTCATATGATTGTGATTTATGTACTTTTCTGTATAAATCCTATATTTAATAAAAAGTTTTCTAAAAATTAGTACTGTTTGCCCACATATCCACGCTACTGTTAATGTTCTCCCTTCTCCCTTTCCAATATTCACTGGCAATCTTATACTCAGGTTTTGAATCAGCCCAAATGCCAGGCTACTCGGAAGCCTTCACCAATCTCCTTCAGCTTTCAACCTCAAACCAAATCCAGTGCTTTCTTTTGTGAGCTTATACTACAGGGTTTCCAAAAATTCATGGAATGATGTCATTATCTGTTCATTCCATTTTTCTACAAATGTTTTTAAGTCTCGTCTATGTTTCTGTTCTTCACCAGAAGGCTAGAAGTCTTAGTAGTACATGGGCTAAGCACTGAGCTGCTAACAACAGGTCGTGGCTCCAACTCACCAGCTGCTCCATGGGAAAAAGATGTGCAGCCTGCTTCCTCGAGGATTTAGTCTCTGAACTCTAGGGAGTGCTTGTACTCTATTCTATAGGGTTAGAATCCACTCAAAGGCCATGGGTTTGGTTTTCAGATTAGATGACTAAATCAGAATTACATTTTAACAACTTAAAATGTAGATTCTGATTGGGTATAAAGGTGGAAATGCAACTGGCCAGCGAAGGCTGAACTCAAATGAACCAGTTGGAAGCCCTGGTCAGAGCCACACAGATACTAAATGCTCTGTAAGGGTAATTAGCCAGATCTAGTTGTTTACAGACTATTCATTTATATAGTAGATTTCATCTCAAATGCTAAATAAGCAACATTTTTTTTCAAGGAATTTTTTAATTAGAGAGGCTAATAAATGTTGTATGCAAATAACAAAAGTATTTTCCGGCCTTAATAAACCATGAAAGATGCATTATCCTTTGAACAATTGTAGATCCATTTGAGTTATAGTGTTGGCAAAAATATTCAAAGTACCATGGACTGCGAGAACAAATAAATCTGTCTTGGAAGAAGTCCTGTCAGAGTGCTACTTAGAAGCCAGGATGGTGAGGCTTTGTCTCTGTATTTTGTACATGTTATCAGAAAGGACCAGTCCCTTGAAGAAGAGCATCATACTTGGTAAAGTAATGGGGTCAGTGAAAAAGAAGACCTTCAACAAGATTGGCATACAGGCTGCAGCAATGGGCTGAAACAGGACCAGTTCGGAGGCTCTGCAGGACCTGACAGTGTTTCTTTGTTGTACATGGGGTTGCTATGGAGTCGGAGCCTACAGGACATCACCTGATAGCAAGAAGAGAGGCACTGAACTAGAGAGCCCAGGAGGGCCCAATTTACAGCTGGACTGTCAGCACCATGAAAGAGGCATAGCGTTCTGTACTCTATCCCTGAGTCCTTTGCCTAGTCCCTGCGGGGTCGCGTTGCAAAGTTCCTTCCAGTCGGTTAGGACTCTCAGCGACCCTGTACAGGGTACCCTTTCCAGGGTTTTTAAACCCGTGCGGGAGCAGAAAGCCTCTTCTTTCTCCCGCGGAACGACTGGCAGGCTGGAACTGCAGACTTGCGTTTTGCAGTACAGAGCTTATTAGAAGGAGCTAACACCACACAGCCTAAGTTAGTAGCTGAGCGCTTGTCTTTTAAGATTATCATGTTCAAAATGAGAAGTACATCACAATGACCAAACCATACGATCAGGAGAGTCAAAATAAGATTCATTTGTCATTCTCAAGACCTCCCCTGAAAAAGCACCCCGCTGCTTGGGCTGAGGACCTCGGGCTCCTCCAGGGTCTCACTCGATCAGGTCCCAAAGCTGGCTAGTCCTCCCGCTCCCCGGCCCTACCTTGGCTGGGTTCGTCAAGACTTCCTTCATGTATTCCGCCACCGTGATGGGGCCAGTAGACTTGATTTTGTATGTAAGATGCCGGAGCATCGGAGTCACCGGGCTGTTTTCTGCCGGCTCTTTTCCGGAACTGAAGCATTTCGCTCTCCAAAGACCGGAAATAACTACGAAAAAACAATATCAAACAACGCATTATATTTATCTTAGTATTTGCATGCGTAAGGAAACCTGAGCGCTTTCCAAATGCTCCCAAGCCAGGAGGACAATCACATAGCCTTCTCATATCAACCCCGAGCGCCCCAGGCAGCAGGGAACGCGGGTGGCAAGTGGGCTGAAGTGGCGCTGACACCTACCCGCTCGTACCGCGGGGCTCCGGAGGCCCACGCCAGCTCTGGACAGGACACTCAAGCCCATCTCGGAACGCCGCCTACATCAGCCAGGGGGGCGGGGCTGTAGTCATTTCCGGGAGGGGAAGCTCCTAGCTGGAAGTACGTCACTCCGTCAAGCGGAAGTAAGCCCTGGACAGCACGCGTGTGCTTTGCTAACCATGGCTGCAGCTAAGAAACCTTTGGAATTTCATGCCAGTAGGCCTTGGGGACCGGAGGAAGGGGTAGAAGATCCGGACGAGGACGACGAGGACGACAACGATGAAGCCGAAACTGGGTTCTCCCTGGAGGAAGTGTTACGGCTTGGAGGCACCAAGGTAATGGCCGTGGGCTTTCAGGGACCTCTAGGAAAACGGAATGGACTAGCAGGGCCGCCGGGACCCAGACCCCACCTTGGGGAAGTGCCTTGTACGCTTCCTGCCTTCCTCTTTTCCACCTTCTGCTAGCAGAAGAAAAGTCGTTTCGAATTGGCCATTCTAAGGGTGTAAGCCGTCCTCATTTTAATGACGTAGTGTAGCATCATTCCATCCCATTGGAGAGGACGCGTCCTGATTTCGTGGGATCAATGATTTGAACGACATTGGTGTTGAAATTTAAATTTGTTCACACGGGGTACGTAAACATGCTCACTCTACACTTAAGAAATCGTAAATTCTCTTGGAATTTGTATTTTCATTAAGAGAGAAACGGTCAACAGACTGTTGATGCTGCGTAGTTCGGTAGAGAAAGATAAAACGAGAGGGGTGATTGGGGGAAACCTCAAAAGGTGTTTGAGCAGATACTGAAGAGGAAGGAGTGAGCTTGAGACATCCATTCAGATGGAACAGCAAATGCAAAACGCTGAGGCAGGAATGTGCCTGACAGTCCATGAACAGCAAAAATGCCTCTGTGGTGAGACAGAGTAAAGTTAAGGGAGTGTGGTGGAACTGAGGTCCAAGAGGTAAAGAAGCAGCCTTTTGCTCTGAGAAGCTACATAATTATTTTGTTTTGAGACAAGACTGGGGGATTAGAGGCAGGAGAAATTCAACCAGCCTACTTACAGAGCCGACTGACACTTTGCTCTATTTGGGGCTCTATATGCATACAATACAGAATTTAAAAGGTGTGGAGAGTTTTATACCTTCTAGGAATATTCTATACATTGGCACGTATGTATATTTTGTTATTGTAAAGTGCCATCAAGTTGGTTCTCACACACAGCGACCCTTTCTAAGAGCTGTCTCTCTCTCTTAAAAGATGTTCTACATGTTACTCTTTTGCACAAATGGTACTATCTTATATGTATACTATTTTACATCTTTCTTGTTACTATCTTAGAGATCCTTTCATATCACTCCATAACAATCTCACATTCAGTTTTGGTTGCATAAATCATTGTGTTTGTCTTCAGTTATCTAACTAGTCATTTTTTGTGGATATTAAGTTGTTGCTGGTCTTACTGTTTAACTAACGTTGCGATGAATAACCTTAAACATATTTTTTTCCACATTTGTGTGTGTTTAAAAGATTTTTGTATAACTATTAAACCAAAGGGTATGTGCCTTGTCATTTAATTGAAGTTGGCACATTGCTCTTCCTGGAGATTGTGTCACATTATGCTCCCATTCACAATATACAATTCCTTTTCCCTCATCCTCACTCAAAATCAACTGTCAGTGTTTAATTTTGCTCATCTGGTAGATTAATCAATAATGTATCATTTTAATTTGAGTTTCTCTAAATGTCAGTGAGGGTGAACATTTTTTTACATTTTTAAAGAGCCAATTTATTTTTCTATGAAATGTGCATTTCCTTTGCACACTTTTCCATTGAGTCATTTTCTTATTGGTGTGTAGGAAGTTTTATATTAAACTACATTAGACCCAATTATTTTGATACAAGTAGAAATTTGTATGTTTTTCTGTGATAGTGATAAATTTACTGATTTACTTTTAAAGGTCCCTGAGCTTTATGTCAGATTGGAAAGATTTTCCTTACACTGACATAAATTCTGTTTTTTATTTTGTGGTTTTTACTTTTCACATTTAAGTTTGATTCAACAAGTATTTATTTTTATATGGGGGGGGTGGGGGTTATGTGCCGTGGAGTCGGTTCCGACTTACAGCGACCCTGTACAGGGTTTTCAAGGCTGTAAATCTTTACAGGAGCAGAAAGCCTCATCTTTCTCCTGCGGAACAGCTGGTAGTTTCGAACTGCTGACCTTGAGGTTCAGGACAGGCAATCCCATGGTTTGTTGTTTTTGTTGTCCTGGTGTGGCGCTGCAGCTTAATGTGCTAGACTACAAGGTCAGTTTAAACAGCAAAGTCAGCGGTTTAAGCTCACCAGCCACTCCTCGAGTACCCTATATAGGGTCACTATGAGTCAGAACCAACTCAGTGGCACTTGACAACTAATACCATGATGGCCCAATGTAATTGATTATGAAGATTCAAAATTCAAATTAACTTTTTTTTTTAATGAAAACCCTCAGCATTTATTGTGATCTGATAATAACATAAAGGTAATGAAAACAAAATGAACATGTTTCAGAACTATAGTCATTAACAGGGACACCTACAAAAGGGGCAAAATAAAATTGTTGCCTTCAACAACTTCTCATTTCATTAGTCATTTCTAGTTGGATCAAATTAACTTTTGAAGTTTTAACTGTCTTATATGTAATGTATTTTAAATTTCATTATTTTTTCACGCAGCAAGATTACCTTATGCTGGCTACGTTGGATGAGAATGAGGAATTGGTGGATGGTGGTAAAAAAGGAGCAATTGATGATCTTCAACAAGGTGAACTGGAAGCATTCATTCAGAATCTTAGTTTGGCTAAGTATGCAAAAACTTGCTTAATTGAAGAAGAAGATGAACGGGCTAAAAAAAAAAATGCCAGTAAAAAAGAAGCAAAGGCATCTAAAATCGATAGTAAAAAACATAACACAGTGGAAAGTGAAAGGGCATCAATCGATAAGATCAAAAGTAAGAAGAGACCAGAACAACATCCTGGTGAGAACAGCAGCACCTTGCCAAAAGTAAAAAAAGATAAGCAACAAGACATTTTTGAATTTTTTGAGAGACAGACGTTGCTGCTGAAACCTGGGGGGAAATGGTATGATCTGGAGTATAGCAATGAATTTTCTCTGGATCCCCAGGCACAAGATGTTGTGTCGAAGTACAAAGCCTTAGCTCAGAAGTTGTATGAGCATGAAATCGACTTATTCAAAAGTAAGACACATCATCAAAAGGGAGGCTCCTCTACCTGGATGAAAGCAATAGTGTCATCGGGGACACTGGGTGACAGAATGGCTGCCATGATTCTTCTTATTCAGGATGATGCAGTCCACACACTCCAATTTGTAGAAACTCTCTTGAACCTCGTTAAAAAGAAGGGCAGCAAACAGCAGTGCCTCATGGCTTTGGATACTTTCAAAGAGTTGCTCATTACAGACCTTTTGCCAGACAGTCGAAAGCTACGGATTTTCAGCCAGCATCCTTTCAACAAACTGGAAGAGCTGTCCAGTGGCAACAAAGACTCAAGAGATAGAAGATTGATACTATGGTATTTTGAACACCAGTTAAAACACTTAGTGGCTGAATTTGTGCACACCTTGGAAACATTAAGTCACGATTCATTAGTAACCACTAAAACTCGAGCTCTTACAGTGGCTCATGAGCTTCTTTGTAACAAACCTGAAGAAGAAAAGGCTCTTCTCGTGCAGGTGGTAAATAAACTGGGAGATCCTCAGAATAGAATTGCCACAAAAGCCTCCCACCTTTTAGAGATATTACTTTCTAAACATCCGAATATGAAAGGAGTCGTTTGTAGTGAAGTTGAAAGGCTACTCTTTCGTACAAATATCAGCCCTAAAGCTCAATATTATGCCATTTGTTTTTTAAATCAGATGACCCTCTCCCATGAAGAAAGTGAGTTGGCTAACAAATTAATCACTCTCTATTTTTGTTTTTTTCGGACTTGTATCAAGAAAAAAGATATTGAGTCCAAAATGTTAAGTGCACTTTTAACAGGAGTGAATAGGGCATACCCCTATTCCCAGACTGGTGATGAAAAAGTGAGGGAGCAGCTAGATACACTGTTTAAAGTGCTACATCTAGTGAATTTCAGTACCAGTGTGCAGGCTTTAATGTTGCTGTTCCAAGTAATGAATTCTCAACAGTCAATATCGGATCGCTATTATGCAGCATTATATAGGTAAGTGCATGCTATTCCAGTATATGAATGTGGTGGGTTACCTGGTCTACTGTAGCTCTTGGAGTCTACAGATGCTACAACAGTAGCTGCATTTGGCAGCTACCTGAAAGGTTGGAGGTTCCAGTTCAGGTAGAGGGGACTCAGAAGAAAGGCCTGGCACTGACAGTCTACTTACAAAAAAGCAGCCATCAAAACCCCATGGGGCACAGCTCGATTTTGGTGGACATGGAGTTACCAAGGGTTAAAGTCCACTTGATAACAGTTGATTAGTGATTAGTACACCATATACATAGTGTCTGTCTGTGGGGCAAGAGAATTTGTATAAACTAATTTAGCTCCTTTTCCCCTTTCCAGTAGTAACTTACACTCATCACCTTTAAATAAGTCACTCAATCTTTGTTTCCCTGTTGGGCAGTTATGTGCTGGATACTTTGAATAAGTTGTTTTTATTTTGAGGTTGTAAATTAGCATCCAGAAAAATCTAAATGAATACTAAGCATTCTGTGTTTTACTATATGGGTTTAAAATATTTTTTATTTTTTTCAAATTTAATATTTTTAATATTAAATGAAACTGTAGGTATAATTAAAATTGTCCTGTTACCTCCTCCCTCCTGTCCTCCACCTAGTCATCCAGTAATTCATTCAACAGTTTTTCTTTTGTTTTGTTTTGAGTGCTTACTATATGCTAGGATAATCACTGGACCGCAAGGTCGGTTTAAACCACATGGTCAGCAATTCAAACTCACCTCCCACTCAGAAACACTACGGGGTCACTATGAGTCAGAAACGACTCTATGGCACTTAGTAACTACGTGCTGGGCACTGTCCAAGAGCTCAGGATGTAGCAAGTTAAAAATTCTCTTTGAAGCGCTTTCATCCCAATTGAAGAAGACATGGTAAGCCAGTAAATGTTTTAGGTAGAAAGTATTGGGGATTGCAATTTTACTTTTTTTTAACATTGGAAGATTTTGCTTACAGAACTTTGCAACTGTCCTGTAACTCACCCGTTGACTGGTGATGTTTTGACCATTTGAACTCAACCAGCTACGTGTAAGAACTTAACGTGTTTCCTCTTAATCTTCTGTCTGTATGTATGCTGTAAAAAGATGTAGCATAGAGGTTAACATACTGGATTTAGCTACGCTGCCTGGGTTTGTGTCCCAACCATAAGTTTACTTAATTATCATTAAGGCCCTGTTGGTAGACATTTTGTGTAATATTGTTTTACTGTGCTTCATTTTATCTCTAAAATAGAGAAAACCACCTCTCTGTCAGAGTAATTATGAAGATTGTGAAACTGTCTCAGAGTTACACAGCTAGTAATGATAGAATGCACCATAGATAAGTACTGAACTGCTAACCATGAGATTGGTATTTCAGACCCACCAGCCACTCCTCAGAAACCCTACGCCAGGGTCACTGAGTCTGAACCTGTTCAGCAGTGCACAACAATAAGAAAGAATGGTGACTTGAATGAAAATTAATGTACACACTAATTCATGTATCTTTATATGTATGTTAAGTGCTAAGCAATGCCTAAAGCACTCAAATCTGCTGCCATGCATCCAGTTCTGACTCCTAGAGAACCTATCAGACAAAGTAGAAAAAAATCCCCATAGGATTTGTAGTGGAGTGTGCCTCACGGTCAGCAGTTGGAAACTACCAGGCATTCTGTGGAAGAAAGATGAAGCTTTGTGCTCCTGTAAAGACTTAACAGCCTTGGAAATCCTAAACAGGGTCACCATGAATTGGAACCAACTCCACAGCATTACCACCACCACCACCATTCTTTAAAATTCTTAATCACTGTGCCTCCAGGGCTCGTGAATGTTTAAGTGTTCACTACTATCCTTATCATTAGTATTATGCACTCCGCTTTGTGTGGGACTACACAACCAGGAAAAGCCAAATTTGGTGGCAAATCTAGATCTATTGGCTTTGAAATTCACAACATTTCACTACACTAATTGTAAAAAAAAAAAGTCTCAAAAGGCCTTTTCACAACTCTTTTTTTTTTTTAAGTTAAGGTTTTTATTGTGGATTGAGTGAAAGTTTACAGGACACATCATCAGTTTCACATTCAACAATTCATATAACTTGTTTCATTACATTGATTATAATCCCTCCATATGCCATCAGTTAAAAGTATTTCTCTTTATTCACTTTAGCTTTTTTTAAAAAACACAAACAAAAAAACCCACTCAGGCATACATAGTAAATTACATCTCCAAAGGGCACATTCTGCAAGTCTGCTCCTGGCCACCAGCTCTTAGTCCTTCTCAGTTGATGAATCTAAAGTCCTCAGCCGCTCCCCCTCTCCATGCCCCCATCCCTTTCTCCATTTCTGGCACTGCTGCTTCTCTGGATAAGATCCCGCATTTTATTTGTGCGTTCCTCTCTTGATGGTCCTAGGGTTTTTCACAACTCTTAAGAGACTACAGTTTTGTTGAAGTAATGGATACTTAAGATTTTTCGCTTAGGGAGAGTTCCAAAGATGAAGGTATAGAGATTTTGGGGTCTTCGGTTGTTCTGCTTGTTAGTGGCCATTGAGTTGGCTCCAACTTATGATGACCTTATGTATAACAGAATGAAATGTTAAATCAGTCCTAGGATAAGCACTAAACTGCCCACCACAAGTGGCTGGTGGCCGTTCAAACCCACCAGCCACTTTTGTACAGAATTGCTGTAAGTCGGAACCAACTCCATGCAACAACAACATACCATCTTTGTGATTATTGGCATCTTTAAGTGAATTCTTGTGGCTGTTGAGTTAATCTATTTCATTGCGGTTTCTCCTCATTTTCATTGACCCTCTACCACATATGATGCTCTTTTAGTGATTGGTCTTTCCTGATGACTTGTCCAAAGTAAATAAGACAGAGTCTTGGCAGCCTCACTTCTGAGGCGCATTCTGATTGTGCTCTTCTAATGCTGATTTGTCCATCCTTCCTATTATGATGGACATCTGATTTGTAGAAAAAAGCCCTGGTGGCTTAGTAGGGTAAACCTTGGGCTGCTAGACCAAGGTCAGCACTTCAAAACCCACCCATCATGCCATTCTTTGGGAGAAAGATAAGGTTTTCTTCTCCCATAAATCTGTTTAGCATCACAACTGTTTAACTAGTAGCTCCTCACAACAATCTAACTTCTCTGAGGAAGCGAACCTTCCTAAATTCTTTAATTTACTATTTGCCAAAAATTCACACAAATGAGTTCCCTCAAAGGCTTTTGTTATGTGCTGAGTCTATTCTGACTTGTGGCAACCCTATAGGACAGAGTACAGCTGCCTCATAGGGTTTCCAAGGCCGCAATCTGTATGGAAGCAGATTGACTCATCTTTCTCCTGCAGAGTGGCTGATGGAAGGTTTCAATCACCAACCTTTGGGTTAGCAGCCAAGTGCTTAACCAGTGTGCCATCAGGGCTCTTTCAAGGCCTTGAAGTCTGCTTAAGTAATTATTGGATCTTGATTTCCCCAAGAATCTTTTTAAATCAAAATTTCCCTAATAAAGTGAGTAATGTTAGTTGAAAGATATAGCTTCATTGTTAAATACCGTAGCTGCATTTAGAGAATTCTCAGAAATGAAAAATTGAATTCATAAGTCAGTGAGCTAGTGCCATGTATAAGAACATGATTTATCAAAATGTGAGGAACATATTCTCTGTCAAATAGTGTGTATGCTCATCTGAATTAGCAAATGTTTCTGTTGTGGAATAGAATATACAAGAGGGCTTCAAAAAGTTCATGGGAGATTCTGTTTTTCCACAGACTTTGAAGCCCTGTCATACGACTAAAATAAGTAGCAAAATAGATGAAAATGTTTTTTTAAAAAAAAAAAATGAAATGGGAAGGCAGAATAATACAGACTGAGAATATTATCAAGAGGCACTAGAATTATGGAACCGATGAGTGGGGGAAACTGAGTATGCAGAGCAATATGAAAACACGTCCCAAGTTTAAGTACTTTCTAGCATTAATGGAAAAATTAATATGTTACTAGCCAAGGAGGTAATGAAATCCGCATGTTATTATGGCATAGCTAGAAGATTGTGTTAATTCTAGGTGCCCTGTGTGGCATCTCTGGGGCTCAGCAACTATGATAGAGCGTGAAAGTAATATGAGATCATAATTAAACAGGCTTTAAAGACATACTTCAAGGAGAGAAGGACACGTAACTTTATAGGTCCAATATGTGAAAGGCTATCATGTAAATATATAATTAGGTTATTTTGTATTGTTTCAGAGAGAAAAAATAGAATTAATGGTTGGAAATTATGTAGAAGCAAATTCATCTGTGAGTAAGAAGGGATTGTCTAACTACATGAGTTTTCCAAAATTGAATTGGATTTCTAGTGAGATAGTGAACAATCCACAATCACTAGAGATTGCACCACCACTTTCTATGGAAGTTCATTTATTCACTTAACAAATGTTGTTAGGTTTCCCCAAGTTGGTTCCAACTCATAGCAACCCTATGCACAACAGAATGAAACACTGCTCTGACCTGCACCATCCTCACACTTGTTTGAGCCCATATATGGATGTCTTTTGGTTGTGGAGATGTTTTATGAATAAACATTAGATCTTGGTTTTGTTTTTACAGGAAAATGTTGGATCCAGGATTATTGTCGTGTTCCAAGCAAGCCATGTTTCTTAACCTTGTTTATAAGTCTCTGAAAGCTGACATCATATTGCGCAGGGTGAAGGCTTTTCTGAAGAGGTTACTTCAAGTTACTTGTGAACAGATGCCGCCATTCATATGTGGAGCTTTATATCTTGTTTCTGAGATACTTAAAGCAAAGCCAGCTTTAAGAAGTCAACTAGATGATCATCCAGTATGTTTTACAACTTTTTTTGTGTCTTTTAAAATAGATTGGGTTTTTTCGTCGGGTTCAGTAACAGTAGTTTACTTAGTTTTCTCTCTGGGGCTTATCAGCATGCATCTTTGAGTCAGTTTACTGACTGGACATGTTGCTGTATTCCTCTACTGGTAATAAACTACACTAACAATGATGAGATTGTTTTCTAGTTGCTGTCGAGTCAGCTGACCCCTGTCAACCTCATGTGTGTTTGAGTAAAACTGTGTTCCGTGAGGTTTCAGTGGCTGCTTTTTTAAAATAGTTATCTAAACCTTTCCTCAGAGGTACCTCTGGGTAAACTCCAAACACCTACCTTCCAGTTAGCAACTGAAGACGTTCACTGTTTGCAACCCCATACAATTAACAGAAAGTTAGAAAGCTCGTAGGCTTCTTAACCTTGTTTCTTCTATGTGAATTGAAACCAATAATAGCTCCAGCTTTAAAGGGTTATTTATTGACATTTTAGTGTGATTAGTAAATACTTTCAAGGTCTCAGAAATTTATCTGTGGTTGATTGTTGTTAAGTGCCATGGAGCCGGTTTCAACTCTTATCAACCCTTTATAGGGTTTCCGAGGAGCACCTGATGAGTTTGAACCGCCAACCCTGAAGTTCAAACCGACCTTGTGGTCAAGTGTTATCCTACAGCACCACATCAGGACTCCATTTTAATAGTGGTGGCGTTCTTAGGTGCCGTAGTGTCAGTTCCAACCCATAGTGACCCTGTATAGGGTTTCTGAGGAGCAGCTGTTAAGCTTGAACTGCTGACCTATGGTTCAAACATACATGCGGTCCAGCACATTAACCCATTGCAGTCTCCAAATCTCAGAGGTTCTTGGCTCAGACATTTACTATATTATATTTCAAGATTATGATCTCAACTCTTATTCTGAATTTTATTGATAGCCATCATTTATTTTACTTTGATTTGAACTTTGTGGTATTTTACCAGAATTTCCATAATCAAAATCAAATTCTTCAAAACTGTGTTATTAATTGAATTCAGACTTGGAACTTTTAGTTGATTAACCCATATTTATCAACCATTTATTTCTTAGGAGTCTGATGGTGAAGAAAATTTTGTTGACATAGGAGATGATGAAGACGTGGAAAAATTCACTGATGCTGACAAAGAAACAGACAAAGTCACAGAAGTTGAGACTGAAGAAGCCATGTCTGAAAGTCAAAAGGAAAGTAAAACACCAAAGTCAGCTTCCTGGGTACACTTTAATAATTTGAAAGGTAGGGCATTGTTTTGTTTTTCTAATATTATTTTAAATCCTTAAATTATTCTCTTGAATTTCTGAACCTGAGAGTTCTGTTTCCCCTTTGGTCTTAATAGAAGTTACTTTTATACCTTTCTGGAAATCGTAAGTATTGTTTTATTAAAATGGGATCTCATAAGTAAATCTATTCAGGATCTCTGATGTAATTTTATATGTAATAATCATTGATTTGTTTATTGACAAAACTACATATAATAAACATTTTTAAATAGTTTACAAATGAACTCAAATACCTTATTTTGGAGCTGTGAAAATAAAATGAAAAAATTTATCATTTGAGGTGCATAGTAAATCTCATTTCCTCTGCTACAAAAGTAATGAGTTTACACCTTAGAAGCAATTTTATATATAAAAACTTCAAGCAATCTTGGACCCAGAGAGGGAAAGGGACTGTGGCCCGAAAACTGGAGGGAGGAGGGGAAAGTGTAGGGGGCGGATTTCTGGAATATACCCTTTGGGTGGTTGATGATGTATGGAGGGAATTGGAACCATGGCAGTGAGATTATATATGATGGAATGAATGTAAAACTGAAGTTCCCCCATGTAAACTATCATATAATTCACAATAAAACATTAAAAAAAAAAATTTTTCAAGCATTGAACACATATGAAGACATCCAATGAAGTATATATCAAAGTTTGACTTGTAAAAAAAAAGTAAGTAGCATAGAACTTTTGCTTCTTTTAATAATCATACTCATCCTCTACCATTTCATAAGGAGAGCCACTTGAAATTATTTGTTCATCCATATACACAAAGGGAAATGAATCTATTATTTGGGTGTTAGAACTAAAAGAAATCTTAGAAATGCAGAAATACAGCACTAGCCATAAGGATCACGAAACATGGTGCCAGACCATTTCTTCAAACTTGTGGGGTTCTTGGTCAAAGTAGTTAAATATCTCCAGGCTTCGGTTGGTAAAGTATAAGAATCTGGTTGTTGTTAAGTGCCGTTGAGTCGGTTCTGACCCATAGCGACCCTACATAGGGTTTCCAGGGAGCGACTGGCGAACTTGAACCGCTGACCTTGCAGTTCAAACAGCTTTGCAGCCTGGTACATTAACCCACACCACCACTCCAGGACTCCAAGAGTCTGGTAGCCTCCTAGGAAGTTTTTATAAGAATCTATCCATTGTCCTAAAGTCTTAACTGAGACTAAAGAAAGATATTGGACACTCAAAGGTATTGAAGTTCTGGTGTAGCACTGTTGGTTAATGTGCTGGACTGCAAAGTCCACTTTGAACCTGGAGACTTACAGTTCAAGCTCACCAGTGGCTCCTTGGAAGCCCTATACAGGGTCGCTATGGGTCAGAACCCGACTCAATGACATTTAATAACAACAGCAAAGCTCCAGAAAAATTTATATCTGTGCCATCTTCAGGTTACTTAGACTTATTAATCCTAACAGAAACTTTTTGTGGCTATTTTAAAATAGCAGTTTTTGAAAAGCTCTTTTAATATTTGGGATTAATATGCTGCTTTGAAGAGGCTTGGAGCTTTTAATCTAGAAAAAGATACCTGACTAACATGTTAGAATTGGTTATGGTTTTAATGGGTTCTTGAGCTAAGGAATAAAATATCTGAAAAATACCTCTTCCTTCCCCACCTCCTTTTCAGGTGGCAAACAAGTAAATACATACGATCCATTCAGTAGAAACCCATTGTTCTGTGGAGCCGAACATACAAGTCTTTGGGAACTCAAAAAGGTAAAATAATTTCATACTGTCTTTCAATGCATTTGTGCCTTCTGACTTTAACACCTTGAAGCTTTTTTTTGTTATTCTTATAATTCTTATAATTGATAAGTTGATACCATTATTTAGGCATCAGTTAATTCTTATAAGAAAGCAATGGAAATACGCTTCAAAGCTATAATAGCTATAATCCATATAATTAAAATCATCACATTAAATTCCCACATTTGAAGGATTATAATGTATGTGGTAGTGGTTCCGAATCAGGCTGCGAACCACAAGGTCAGCAGTTCGAAACTACCAGCTGTTCCGTGGGAGAAAGATGAGGCTTTCTGCTCCCGTAAGGATTTACAGCCTCAGAAACCTTGTACAGGGTCGCTATGAGTTGGAACTGACTCCATGACACATCACAACTTGTAGAAAGTACTAAATTACATGCATGGTGTGAGTTGTCTTTGGTAGGGAGATACAATAATCACATCTAACAGCTCTAAAATGTGAATAGAATGGTTTATGCAGTAGATATATCTGAAAAGTTTCATGTTGATATAATTTTTGGCAAATAAACACGTTTTAAATTTATCAAAGGAACACGTAGAGTCATTCTGTGCTTTCTTAGTTTATTCCCATGCAGGCATTCTCAAACTGTTATCACAGAGCTTGATAGTCTCTGGCATCCTTTCAGTGAATCTGCTAGGTCAAAATTACTTGGATAATAATACTAACACATGATTTATTTAAGTCTTTATCACCCAATTTAAAAATAAAATAGTAAGAATGGTAAAGCATGAAAAGTTACTGATTGTATTGTCTCTACCCTAAATTAGGCTTCTTTTTAATATTCTGTGAATTTATGGCAAGAATAAATATGTGTTGTTGTTAAGTGCCTACTAGTCAGTTCTGATGCATCACGACCCTGTATAGGGTTTCCAAGGAGGACCAGCTGGTGAGTTTGAAGTGCCAGCCTTTTGGTTCAAACTGACTTTTCAGTCCAGTGCTTATCCTACAGTGCCACACTCCATGCATACAGCATAGTTATTATTTTTAATAAACCTGTTATAAATTTTAAATATACTAATCCATGACAGAAGTAATATGTATGTTCTAGTCTTATGAGAGAAGCTCTGGTAGCGTAGTGGTTATAAGTCAGGTTACTTATCCTACAGCCAGCAGTTCATAACTACCAGCCATTTCACTGGAGAAAGATGAGACTTTGTGCTCCCATACAGATTTACAGCCTCAGAAACGACTCCACGGCATATAACCACCACCACCACCATTATAAATTATGGAATCCTGGTGTGGCACTGTGGGGTAAAGCACTGGACCATAAGGCCAGTTCGAACTGCAAGGTCAGCGGTTCAAACTCACCAGCCACTCCCTGGAAACCCAGTACAGCAGGAATGGGGAACATTTTTCTGCCAAAATTTATAACATCATTCACAGGCCATACAAAATTATCAAATTAAAAAGTAGCCTGCTATATTTGGTCAAACATTTAATTAACTCACTCCTAATATGGAGGCAAGGATGGCCAAATTTCGTCTTTCATACTTCGGACATATTGACAAGAGGGACCAGTTGCTGGAGAAGGATATCATGTTTGGTAAGGTGGAGGGTCAGAGAAAAAGAGGAAGACGCTGAGTGAGATGGATTGGCAAAGTGGCAGCATCAGTGACAGTAATAGTGAGGTCGGCCCAGGACCTGGCGGTATTTCGTTCTGTTGTGCGTAGGGTCGCTATGAGTCAGTACCGACTCACTGGCACCTAACAATGTGATGGCTACAGGAAATCTGGTAGTGTGTAGTGCTTACGAGTCAGGCTGCTAATCTCAAGGTCATCAGTTCGAAACAAAAAGCTGTTACATGGGGGTAAGATGAAGCTTTCTGCTTTTGTAAAGGTTTACAATTGCAGGAACCCTTATACAGGGTTACTATGAGTCGGAACCAACTCCACAGCACACCAACACCACCAATGTGATGGATGGAACTGTGGTTGCCTTGGCAGAGCCAGACTAAATGATTTTGCAGACCTTATGTGGCCCCCAGGCCTGATGCTCCCCGCCTCTGCTATTCAGGGTCTCTAGAGTCAGAACGGACTCAAATGGTAATGGACAACAATATTTTAAAGTATAAATATTTAATTTTTTTTCTGATTTAATTTCTAATGTAAACATCATGAACCTTGGAGTCAATAAATGTATAGAGGGATCCTTAGACCAAAATGTTTGAGAATCATTGTTCTAATATATTTGCTTTGTAAGGTTAAAGTTTTAATTCTTTGGATTTTCTTAAGTAATCTATAATTGTGGTAGCAACTGGTACTAGAAACACTGAAGTACATTTTTCTTTTTAGCTATCTGAGCATTTTCATCCCTCTGTGGCCCTTTTTGCAAAGACTATCCTTCAGGTGAGTGTAAATATTGCAAAGATAAGAAATAAGAGAAACAAAATTAACTAATGTTAGGTAATTGAATGTACAGTGTTTTCATCACGTAATAGCAGTAGATACATTGTTGCTGCTTTGTTAAAAGAGCAGTAGCCTGTTTAACGCAGAACAGGAGATAATTCAGAACACTAGAAAACTACAACACATCTGGCTTTTCTCTGAAGAGAGACTGCCCTCCTGTGTTTCATATGCTGCATTCGACACTTCAGGACTTCGATCCTGGTTAATGGGAAGATGATCTACAATATTATTTACCTTTTCATAGGATCAGTATGCATTGCTTGCATGTCTGTCTGTATGCATGTGTGTATGTATGCATTTAATTTTTCAAGTAAAGAACATGCCTAAGATGAGTCTTTGAAAGGTCATTTATTACTATTTGAGGGATCAGTCCCTGGAGAAGAACATCATGCTTGTTAATGTAGAAGGTCAGTGAAAAAGAGGAAAGCCCTGAACACCATGAATTGACACAGTGGCGGCAACAATGGGCTCAAACACAGAAATGATTGTCAGCATGGCACCTAGCAACAACCTTCATTTTAACATACTAGAAACTTGTTTTGTTCCTGTCTTTTTTATCTGGATGCATGTATATAATTTGAGTTAAATTCTTAAATCTCTTTCCCTCTTTTCAGGGAAATTATATTCAGTATTCAGGAGACCCACTACAGGATTTCACCCTAATGCGGTTCTTGGATCGATTTGTATACCGAAATCCAAAGCTGCATAAAGGCAAAGGTATGTGTCTATATAATTAACTATTTGTCTTTCATTGTTGTTGTTTTTCAAACATACAGCTATGTTTATATTATATTGCACTGTTTTTCCATTTCAGAAAACACAGACAGTGTTGTGATGCAGCCAAAAAGGAAGCATTTTATAAAGGATATCCGTAGTCTTGCTGGTAGGTATAAGTCATGGACAGTTGAAACTGAAAAGACAGTACCAGGCAGTTCAAAAATAAAAAATAAAAAACTCACTGCCATCAAGTTGACTCCAACTTGACCCATAGCAACCTTATAAGGGTTTCCAAGACCAACTTGACCCATAGCAACCGTATAAGGGTTTCTAAGACCATAAATCTTTATGGGAGCAAACAGCCTCATCTTCCTCCCATGTAGCAAGTGGCTGGTGGGTTTAAACCACCAAACTTACAGTTAGCATCCCGGTGCCTAACCAACTCATAACACTATTTCTCAGAGCTTCTTAATATATAAAAGGGGACGTCAAAAACTGTGGAAAAAAATGGAATTCAAAGATACTTTCTAAAGCCCCCTCGTATAGTTGTGTTATTCTCTGTTCAGTTGATCAGAATAAAACCTGAGCATGACAGGCATTGAAGCCCTGGTGGGCACTGTAGGATAAGCACTGGACTACTAACCAAAATATCAGTGGTTCAAACCCAGCCACTCCTTGGAAACCTTATATAGGATCACTGTAAGTTGGAACCAACTCAACAACGGCACTTAACAGTAATCAGAGGCATTATCACCCATTGTTTATTCCCCAAAATATGTACATATTAACTTTACTATAGAAAATTTCAGACATATCCAAAGTAAATAAAATAGTATGAACAACTTCCCTGTACCCCATTACCCAACTTCAACAAGTATCAACATATTGTCATTTTTATATTGTCTGTAGTTTTATCAATAACCCACACACATACACATATACACTTATAATTCATACCAACTCTTTGATAATTGATTTAGCTGAACAAAATTCTGCAATTGGTTTGTTATGGAGCACCATTTTAAACTTAGTTAATAACCTATTTCTATAGGCATCTGAAAGGCTCCCTGGTGGCATAGTGATTACTAGTTGGGCTGCTAACTGCAATGTCAACTGTTCGAATCCACTACCATTCTGAGGGAGTGAAATGAGACTTTCTGCTCCTGTAAAGATTTACAGGCTCAGAAACCCTGCACAGAGTCACGATGAGTTGGAACCAAGTCAGCCGCACACAGCCACCACCACCACCCATCTTGTGGAGTTAATTGTCTGTTTTTCTATTCAGTATAGACATTTCCTGTGTACCAGATTCCAAGTCCTTTATTTCCTTTTTCAGTTTAGTGTAAAACTGAATGAACCAAAACAAAACCCATTGTCTATTGAGTCAGTTCTAACTCATAGAAACCCTGTAGGACATAAGTAGAACTGCCATGTCTGTCTTCTGTGGAGTGGCTTTGAACCACTGCCCTTTCTAGCTTAACTGCTGCACTATCAGTACTCCTAGGATTAAACCAGACTATGTAAATCCTCTATCCAACTAACTTATTTCACAGAAGTCCAAACCAAGAGGTAAAAGGACTATGCCCAAAGTCTAATGAGTTAGAAATCAAATCCCCTTTTAATCAAGGTAAGTTAGAATTTATCATCCTCAGAATTTAGTAAAACAGGCTAATTCTGTTTATTGTGGCAGTGTAGAATAAGCACCCGACGCAAGGTCAGTTTGAACCACAAGGTCATCAGTTCAAACTCAGCAGCTACTCCTTGGAAACGCTGTACAGGTTGTTATGAGTCGGAACCGACTCAGTCTTACTGAACAACAACATGGCTAATTCTATGTTTATTCCCAGATTGGCGAATATTATTGTAGTTTTTCTGAAATGAGAATGGTAAATCTGAAATTATAATGAAGAGAACCATTACATTAAGGATGGAGTCCCTGTATAGCATAAACCTTTAAGTGCTCCACTGCTAACCAAAAGGTTGGTGATTTAAGTCCACCTTGGAATAAAGATCTCACGATCTCCTAAAAAATCAACCACTGAAAACCTTGTGGAGCACAGTTCTACATACACAAAGTCATGAGTTAAAATCGACTCGATGACAACTGGCTTGGCTTGGCTGTAGTAAGGATACAGTTGGAGGACGAGACTGTTCTGTTGGTGTGAGTTGCACTGATGGCTGTGCACTGTCTACTCTGCTGGCCACTGTTCCAGCTGTTTACATGGTAGGGCCTTCCCCACATAGGCTTTTCCCCAGAGTTGTCCGTTACTTCACAGGATGCCTTCTGTCCCTGTTCCTCATGTTCTAAGCATTCTCTATTTATTATTGTGTCATTGAATAGCATAAAAAGAATTACTGAAATAAAGTAACATTTTTAACTAATTTGTCTTCTTAGTGAACAGTAAGGAGTTCCTTGCAAAGGAAGAAAGCCAAATACCTGTGGATGAAGTGTTTTTCCACAGGTAAATATACTTGATGTAGTTTTATTTGGGTGGGGAACTATTAAAATCTAAAATTTATTTCCTAAAAATGATTTGATAAGATTGTTGGTAAGTGCTGTCAAGTTGATTCTAGCATACCTTAAAACAGTCAGGGCAAATGTCAGGATCAGGTTTTATGAAGGGAATTGACACATCAGTCATTTTGTTAATCTTACTTAAAATACCTAAATGAAACAAAAAGTTGGGTATTTTGTTTTTTTAATAATCTCACATAAATTTTGTTTTGTGAGTCTCAGCTTTGTGGAACTTAGTTTAAGGTAGTGAAAAAGAGTTCATGAGTTGTTTATACAAAATACAGTTGTTAAAGAAGAATTAGCAATACTTTTTGTGCTAGTATACGAAGTCCTAATGAGCCTACTAGTAGTATTACCACTGCCTTATTGTAGTAGAGTAGCTGCTATCTCATCTGATTGATGGGTCAGTTTGATTTGGTTTACTTATTAAATTTTTGTACAAGGAATTTTGAAAGGGTAATTTCATCTGCAAAATGCTCATAAGCTTCACTCTACCCTAATATCAGAAAAGGATGACTGCTTTTTTAAATATTTGTTATTTGAGGACATTTAGAGCCACATTTTATATTACTTTAATATATCATTGGGTTAATGCACAAGACTTCAAAGCCATTTCAACTACAGGACCAACAGTTCAAGCTCATCATTCGCTCTTCGGAAACCCTATACAGGGTCGCTATGGGTCAGAACCAACTCAACGGTGCTTAACAACAACAATATATGCTTAGTGTGAAAGCTGCAACCTTTTACTATATTATTTTGATTGAGGTGTTATGTTTTAATGAAGAACTAGTTTTAAAAGAAACTGAAATTTACTACACTTCAGTAGTTTTGTTGAATTCAGAACTGTTGCTTCTGTAATACAGCTTCTAGTCTTCTATATCCAATTGAATATGCTTAACAGCTTTTACAATTCTGATTGGTGTCAATGGTCATAGTTAGTTTGGTGATAATAAAGTAGGTCCTTAATAAAGCTTTCATATTTTGGATGCTTTTTATTTTAGGTACTATAAAAAAGTTGCTATTATTAAAGAGAAACAAAACCGGCATGCAGATGAAGAAAGTATAGAAGATGTGGATGATGATGAATTTGAAAAAATGATTGGTAATTTGTTTTTGTTGACTTTATAACTTATAAATAATTGCTTACAGACCGTGGGACATTAATAGTATAAGTGATCTGATCTTAATTTAAAAAAAAAAAAAATCACTTAGTGCAAATTATATTGAAAAGAAATATTCTAATGGTAAGTGGGAATTTGCCTACCTTTATTCCAGAAAAAAAATGATTTTGTTTTAAACATTTCTTGTGAGAAAACATTTTCTTTATATGTTTATACTCACAGCAGTACCTAACAACAAAATATTCATTCTCCATTTTTGTGGTTTCTTTGGGGAGGCGGGGGGGGAACAGTGACACTTTGTGCTTTAAGAGAAAGTTTACATGGAAATTAGTCTTCCAATCAGTCATTCATACACAGATTGTCACATGACATTGGTTGCAGTCTCTGCCTTGTGTCAGCACTCTTCCCTTTTCCTCTGTGGGTTCCATTCCCAATAGTCCAGGGGGCACAGGTTGCCCTTTTGGTATTGGGTAGCTGGTTTTTCTATGGAGCACATTCTTCTCAAGTGTTATTTAATAGTTTATTTAATAGGCCCATCTGTTAATTAGCTACAAGGTAACCTCTCATGGTGTGTTCAGTTTTAAGTTATTACTAGGTTATCCTAGCACATAGTTTCAGGGATTCCTTCAGTCTCTCAGACCAGTAAGTTGAGTCTTTTTTGTTTTCATTTGAATTTTCTTCTACATTTTTTAACCATTCTAACTGGGACCTTCTATTGTGGTTCTGGTGAGTAGTGGTTGTGGGCAGCACCTTCTAGTTTTTCTGGTCTCAGGTTAGAGGATGGTGTGGTTCAAGTGGGTCTTTAGTCCTTTGGACTAATTGCTTCCTCATTTTTGCTGTTTCTCATCTCCTTGTACTATTAGTGACAGTCATCTGTTTTGCCTATTCATAACCAAGGGAGTTAGAAATACTTTAATTCAAATTAAATAAAATAAAAAACCATGAGTAGTAAAAAGGTATACATTTGATTTAACTTTAGTTGCGTACTGTTCTAAATCTACTTACATAGTCCTAAGAGTAAAGGACGTCATTTGCTAAATATTTTATTTGATGTTTATTCTCCTTCTAAAACAGCCATAGAAAGAAACTGAAACTGGGATTCATATTTATTTAGGCATTTGGATATGCTATGTTCACAGGCTTAGAAACCTTAAAATAAAACTAACATGAGTCACATATCATTTTGGTGTTTACGTGTAATCAACAGCAGAGTCATAACTATTTTATAATAATTGATTCAGATATGTCAACAATTTATATATTATTCTCTGGCAGATACATTTGAAGATGATAATTGTTTCACCTCTGGAAAGGATGACCTTGATTTTGCTGGGTAAAATTCTTTAATTGTTTATTTATTGTCACTGTAACTGACTGTACCTACAAGATTTCCCAAATATTTGTCCTTCAGAACACTAGAGCACTAGACTGTGCGATGATGTATGGGGGAAATGTATTCAAATGATTGGGGAAGTGGATACAGTATATTCATTTTGGGCCTTTATAATGCACATTGTTGTTACAGTCCTTAAGTATTGTTAAGTAGGTTTTGACTTAGAGTAACCCGTGTAGGTTTTCCAAGGAGTAAGTGATGGGTTTGAACTGCTGACTTTGAGTATTGGTATATTAAATATTTAATATACTATTCTGGTCTGTAAGGAGCTCTGGTAGCGTAGTGGTTACGAATGGGGCTGCGAACCTTAAGGTCAGCAGTTCGAAACTACCAGCCGCTCCGCGGGAGAAAGATGAGGCTTTCTACTCCCGTAAAGATTTACACCCTTGGAAACCCTGTACAGGGTCGCTATGGGTCGGAACCGACTTGACGGCACTTAACAACAACAACAACAATTCTGGTCTGTAACTCTTTCTCACTATAGATATCTTACCAGCCTGGTACCCTAGAATCACTAAAATATACTTTAAGAAAAACTGCTCTGTTTTCAGTTACCAGGAATCCTGGTGAAGCAATGGTTAAAGAGCTCACTGCCAGCCAAAAGGCCAGTGATTCCAACCCACAGCCACTCTGGGGGAGAAAGATGTGGCAGTGTGCTGGACAGCAGTAGGTTTGGCATATGCTTTTATACCTTTGTTTTGTTTCCAGAAATGTGAAAAAAAAACCAAAAGGAGCTAAGGATAACCCAGAACATGAAGATTCAGAAGGTAGTGATGAAGATTTCGATAACCTGGATGATGATGAAGTTTCTTTAGGAAGTATGAATGAAGAATTTGCTGAAATTGATGAAGATGGAGGAACATTCATGGATGTATTAGATGATGACAGTGAAGGCATTCCAGGTAAATAACCTTTTTTTTGTTGTTTTTTTTTAAATAGATAACAAACTATTAAGACAAATAAATTTGTATTCCTTTCTACTTCAACCTTAGGCTACTGCTTCTGTTGAAGGTTGTGTTCTAAAGTTGGCCTTGTTTCAGATTAACATTAAATTCACTAGAAATTTTGCCTGCCATTTCAACTAAAAAATTATTTTAAGGAAACGTGATTTTTGAGATTATGCCTTTTAACAATTCATCTGCTGGTATGCAGTACCAACTGGTTAAATAAATTGTCTTTACTGGTAGGCTAGAAATCAATGTTTGTAATTAGTATATAGCATAAATGAAGAAGGTGGGTATTTTTTCTTACAAATAGCAAAAAAGTACCCAAATTGCCACCACTGAGCTGTCAGTTTGTCGTACTGTAGTGAGTGGTTTCTGTGTTGCTGTAATGCTGGAAGCTGTGTCTCCAGTATCTTAAATACCCGCAGTCACCTCATGGTGAAAAAGTTTCTACTGAGCTTCCAGACTAAGACAAACTAGGAAGAAGACAAGGTGGGCCACTTCTGAATGTTTACCCACTGAATAGTAGCATGACATTGTCAGATCTAGTACCAAAAAATGAAAACATCGTAATACCAGAATATTGTCAAAATTGTGCCAATAGATGAACCCCTCAGGTTGGAAGGCACTCAAAATGCAATTGGGGAAGAGCTGCCTCATCAAAGTAGAGTTGACAGTGGTGGTGCAAATGAATAAAAGCTACTGGAACCTTCATTTGCTGATGGGGCACAACTCAAAATGAAGAGTAACAGCTGTGAACATCCATTAATAATTCAATGTACAAAGTATTGTTGTTAAGTGCCATAGAGTCCATTCTGACCCATAGCAACCCTGTATAGGGTTTCCGAGGAGCAGCTGGTGAGCTTGAACCGCCGACCTTGCAATTCAAATGGCTTTGCAGTGTGGCACATTGACCCACAGCGCCACACCAGGACTCTGTACAAAGTATGAATCTAGAAAAATTGGAAATTGTCAAAAAATGAAATGGAATGAATAAAAATCAATAGCCTACATACACATTAGTGAGCTGAAATATACTGGTATTGGTCATTTTGAATCTGACAATCATATGGTTCACTATACCAGAAAGACAAAATTGAAGAGGAATGGCATATTTGTCATCAGAACATTTCAAGATCTAACCTGGAGCAAAATGCTGTCTTTGATAGCATAGTATCCATATGCCTACCAGGAAGACCAATTAATGCAACAATTATTCAGATTTACACACCAATCAATAAAGCCAGTAATGATGAAACCGAAGAATTCTTCCAACTTCTTCAGTTTCAAATGGATCAAACATACAGTCAACATGTATTGATAATTACTGATGATTGGCATGCAAAGGTTGGAAACAAAGAGGAAGGACAAGTAGTTGGAAAATATGGCCTTGGTGATGCTGGAAATCACGTAATAAAATTTTGTAAAACCAATAATTTTTTTCACTGCAAATACCTTTTTAAAATAGAATAAAAGATGATTGATATCACCAGATGGAATGGTAGAATACACAGAATCAAATTGAGTACATCTGTGTAAGACACTGTGGAAAAACTCAATGTCATCAACAAAAACCAGGCCATGGACAGACTGGAACGGACCATCAGTTGCTCAAGTTAAGCCTGAAGTTGAAAAAATATAGGTGCACATGAACCAAATGTGATTTTGAACCTGAATCTAGAGATCATCGCAGGAATAGAACTGATGCATTAGACACTAATGACCAAAGACCAGAAGAGTTGTGTGATGTCTTTAATCAAAAACATCATACAGGAAGAAAGCAGAAGGTCACTAAGAAGACATGAAAGAAGGAAAAGACCAAAATGGATGTCAGAAGAGACTCTGAAACTTGCTTTTCCAGCACAGAGATGCTAAAGCAAAAGGAAGAAATGAGGGTAAAAGTTCAACAGAAAATGTAAAAGGGCAGCTTGAGAAGACCAAGTCATGTATGATAATGAAATGTGCAGTCCTGGAGTTAGAAAACCAAAAAGGGAAGAACACGCTCAGCATTTCTCAAGCTGAAAGAACTGAAGAAAAAATTCTAAGCCTCGACCTGCAATATTGAAAGAATCTATGGGCAAAATACTGAGTAAAGCAGAAGGTGGAAAGAATGTACTTGCTACACCAAAAAGAAATGGTTGCTGTTTGACCATTTCAAGAGGTAGCATTTCAAGAGTCAGTGGTACTGAAGGAAGAAGTGCAATGTGCACTGAAGTTACAGGCAAAGAGCGTGGCTCTGGGATTGGTAGGATGCAAATTGAAATCTTTCAACAAACTGTTGCAGCACTGGAGGCACTCACTCATCTATGCCAACAAATTTGTCTGACTGATTAGAAGAGATCCATATTTGTGCCAGTTCCAAAGAGAGGGATCCAATGGAATACAGACATCATCAAGCAATATCATTAATATCATATGCAAGTAAAATTTTGCTAAAGATAATTCACAAACAGCTGCCACAGTAAATTGACAGAAACTACCAAGGTTCAGGCATGGAATGAGGGATATCATTTTTGACTTCAGATGGATCTTAGCTGAAAGCAGAGAATACCAGAAAGGTGTTTACTGGTGCCTTTATTGACTATGCAAAGGCTTTAAACTGAGTGGATCATGACAAACTATGGGTAACATTGCAAAGAATGGGTACTCCAGAATACTTAATTGTGCTCTTGAGGAACCTCTCCTATAAATAGTCCAAGACTAGTGATATACCGAATGGTTTAAAGTCAGGAAAGGTTTGCATCAGGGTTCTTGCACTATATTTATTCAATCTGTATGCTAAGCACATAATCAGAAAAACTGGATTAGAGGAAGAATGTGCCATCAGGATTGAAGGAAGACACATTAACAACCTGCAATATTCAGATGATAGAATCTTGGTTGCTAAAAGCGAAGAGGACTTTTGTAAGATCAAAGACCACAGGCTTCAGTATGGGCTTCACCTCAGTATAAAGAAAACAAAAATCCTCACCACTGGAACAATAAATAACATCATGATAAATGGAGAATAGACTGACGTTATCTAAGTGTTCAAGAGCAAGGATGTCAGTTTGAGGACTAAGGTGAGCCTGACCCAAGCCCCAGGGTATTTTCAGTAGCTTTACATGTAGGTGAAATTGGATACTGATTAAGAAAAGCCATAAAAGAATTGATGCATTTGAATTAATGGTGTTGAGGAAGAATATTTAAAGTACTATGGACTGCCAGAAGAATAAACAAATCTATGTAAGAAACTCTGGTAGCGTAGTGGTAACGAACTGGGCTGCTAACCTCAGGCTCAACAGTTCAAAACTACCAGTTCCCTGGGAGAAAGATGAGGCTTTCCGCTCCTGTAAAGATTTACAGCCTCAGAAATCCTGTGCATGGTCGCTATGAGTCAGAACCGACTCCACGGCACACAACTACCACTACCACTACCAAGTTGGAAGAAGTATAGCCAGAGTGCTTCTTGGAAGTCAACATAGCCAATTCTTTGTCTCTCGTACTTTGGACATATAATCAGGAGGAACCAGTCCCTGGAGAAGGACATCATATTTTGTAAAGTGGAGGGTTGGAGAAAAAGAGGAAGACCCCCAACAAGATGGATTGTCTCAGTGGCAGTAGCAGTGGACTCAAGCATAACAACAGTTTTGGGGATGATGCAGGACCTGGCAGTGTCTTGTTCTGTTGTGCATAAGATCGACTCAGCGGACACCTAACACGAACAACCACCCAAAATTGTGTCCTTGGACTATTTACTAAACTATTTCTGTATCTCCATGTACATATACATCCCATCCTGCTAGCTAGAACACACCAGAAGTTTACTCTTACTTTAAGGAATTTTATATTATTTGGTATTATTACTGAATCTATCTAGTAAATTGTTTACTTATACAAAATATGGGACTATGTCAGTATACATCTTAGGGCCCTGACTTAACTCTCTCCTCAAAACCTATGCTAGTGTAGCTGTGAAATAAAGAAGGTAGAATATATTTCCTATAAATTACATAATTACTTTATGTTGTTGTTAATAGAACTTGATGGTGAGGACCACTCCAAAGTTAGTACCAAGAGTCACAAAAGAAAAGGTGTAAATGACTTTGACTTTGCTGGATCATTTCAAGGTAAGAAAATGCATTTCATGTATTTTAAAGCTGAAGTATTCACCAGGTAAAAAGCACTATTCATCATCATTTTGAAAGATGAACTTTTCTAAATTCACTTTTTTCTCTTCTCTTTTGCTTAAGGAAGAAACTTTTATAATGGTTTTATGAGTTATTTTCTTCCTAAGTTCATTCATTCTTATGTTTAAATATCTCTGGCCCATTATTTTAATTCCTGTTGAAACTATTCAGTTTTATGTACGCTCTAGATTTTTCCACTGAAACCTGTCCTGTTTCTTGATCAATTCTCAGACATTTGAGTCTTTTAAAAATCCATGTTCCTTTCTCAACTTCAGTTTACCTTTTTCTGAGATCTACCATTTTTCTGCTAGATCACTTAGTGAGATTTTACCTTTTAGCTTAACACTTGTAAGGTGTTAATAATATAAAAAGTATTGTATCAACTAACAGTTAAGTGTTTGATAGAAAACGTAAGAAACACTATTATAAGGAGTAAAAGAGACTCCATTTTTTTTTTTTTTTTTTTTTTTACATATAAAGACTCTGTTAAATCTTGACCAGAAGTAAACACAAGACAAAGACAAACATATAAAACCCTGGTAAGGAAAATCATATGCATCATGAAGAGTTTCCAAGGATCTGTCTCCACCCACCTCGTGACCTTTTTTTTTTAATTGTAAACTGAGTGATAGTCTACATGGAAGAACATTGGCTGTACACCATCGTTTCCTTGCAATTACAGTCTCCTCTGTGCTTCACCATTCAACAGTATTTCTTCCAGTCCCTCTGTTTTTCTTTGCTTTTTTTGAGGGGTTGGGGGTGACACGTGGTGACCTTTTATAGCGCAAAAGAAACTCCTTACAAACATGAGTGAGGGCAGCAGCCAAGCCCATCACAGAGGCACACCGAGCCTACGGAGAGCAGGAAAGAGACTGTTGAGGAACGGAAACAACAACAAGGGGATAACTGCACTGTGGGTCTAAATCCAAGGAATGTATTTTTTAGCAAAACTATGTTGAAAAGTATACATTTTCTCATAAATCACCGGATTTAAAATTAAATTATCTTGGCTTATCCTTCCTTTTTTCTTTTTTTCCAATCCAGGACCCAGGTGCAAAAAAAAAAGGAATTTTAACGACTCCAACCTATTTGTATCTGCTGAAGAGGTAAGGTTAATGTACTACTTTAATAAGCTAGCTATTCTATATTGTTTTAAGCTTTCTAATAACTTTATTTTATTTTTAAGTTTGGACATCTATTGGATGAAAATATGGGATCCAAGTTTGATAATATTGGCATGAATGCCATGGCTAACAAAGATAATGCAAGTAAGTACCTTGAATTTTTTATTCAGTTTTAAAAAAAAGTCTTGACTTAGAATTTCTAAAGATGTAAAACTTAAAGGAGCTTCAGAAAGTTTGTAGAAAAGTTCCATTATCTTTTCATTCCATTCTTTCATGAATTTTTTTGAAGCCCCCTTATGTATTTTGAAGGGTCTGATACAGAAGAAAAGTAACACACACAGTGGATGGACTTAGACATTGTGAGTGGGGAAGGAGCTGTAGACCTGGAGTTCCTATTGAGTCAGGTGTTCTGCGGGACTGCCAGCAGTCTACGGTGTCTCAGGCATCTATCTTCTGTTTCTTCCAAAGGTTTCAAGCAGCTTAAATGGGAGGCTGAACGTGATGACTGGCTACACAACAGAGATGTAAAAAGTATCATCAAGAAAAAGAAAAATTTCAAAAAAAAGAAGTTGAGAACCACTCAAAATACTAAAAAGCAAAGAAAGTAGTGTTTTTTAAATATTTGTAAATTAAAATTTTACTTACTCCTAATTTTTGCTATTTAGCCATTTTTCTTGATCTTCCACTCTAGTTCCATATATTCCAGCTTGTTCAATGGATTTATAATAAACTATAAATAAAAACATATGCCATTTATAAAATCATGTGAAACGTTATGAAAATTTAACTATACTGAGGGGAAAAAATTCACACTTTTTAGATTTCTAAAAGTAAAATGAAAAAGAAGACAGTAGGATACATATTGTATATACATGCTCTAGCAGTCTTCTAATCATTGTAAAATAACTTAAACTGACCTTAGAGAAGTTAGCAAGTCTAAGATCAGTTTTTACATTTTAAGCAGTGACTTGGCCAATAGGAGAGAAGCTCAGAATCCAGCCCATTAGACAGCTGTCTACAGATGATCATTTCTAAGGTCTTCAAAGTAAAAATGGGGCTGAATAGTATTGTTGGAGAGTGACATATCCCAAAATAAGAAACAACATCCTAGTACTTAATCAGCTGAAGATCTTAAATTTATAGGTTACCTGAAAAGGTTGTTTTATATTCTTATTTTTAATTAAGAAAAACATACCTTCCAAGATGAAGGGAAATCTCTTGTTCATTGTTTGTCTGAAATCTGAGATAAGAAAATCTTAAAATTAGACGTAAGAAATTCATTAAATTAGCACAAATCCACAGTTTAATGTCTATGTCTTCAGGGTCTTTATCATGGGAGTAACATAGATTAGAAATTCGTTTTAAGCACCTCCTTGTAATCCAGGCTGCACTTGCCAAATGCATAGCCTTGCATAAAATAAATTTGGAGTTTAAAATTTTTGACCTGTATAAATCATATAATTTATTTGAGAATTATATTTTAAAGCAAATTTCAAATGTTTATAATGCCCTTATGTAATTTTATTGTTCTTACGGAAGCCATTTACATTGTTATGAAATTTGAAATAAGACTAGACAGTAGTTTAAGTTGATCCTGAACTTTAATTTGCTTTTAAATGGTATTTGGAAGCTTTCTTTTATATTCAGAAATTATAGAAACTGAATGAATACCCAACTGTGTCCTGTTTCATACGTTCCACTGAACTACTTGAGGAAAGAAAAGGGGCTCTTGCCCACTTTATTCCCTCATGGACAGTTCCGGTCACAAACAGGACTTGACAGGAGGTCCTTTCTCTAAACTTTGAAGATGGCTACTACCCAGGACTACTCTTTTCTTTCTTTATGAAAAAGAGCAGTAATTCCTAACTTAATTTGAGAGCTCTATAGGATGGGCATTGTCCTGTGAACTACAAGCCTGCCAGTCATTCTGCAAAAGAAAGATGAGGCTTCCTGCTCCTGCAAAGATTTATAGCCTCAGAAACCCTACACAGGGTTTTGCTATGAGTCAGAACTGACTCGATGGCACGAACAACACAAATTTTGCCCTCCACAAAATGTTAAAACTTTCAGTGATGGCCATGGTATAGGATGGCGTTTTAGTGCTCATCTAAGGGGAAAAACACTGCTAGCTAGCCAGAGAAAACAGGTTGCTTTGACAACACAGCTATGGCACCTCTTGCTTTTTCACACTGAATGAAATGTAATGGTCAGACCACATTTCTTCTATCTGCTCCCAACCTAAGCCAGACCTAGAGCCAGCCTCACTAGTAATAGCCATGAAGGTGTGAAATATTTCCCCTAGTCTACAAACCTGAGTTTTTTTCTAATTGGAATGTGTCACTTTGTCTAATAATTTGTAGCTTATACCCATAAAAATACCTAATACATTGAAAAAACAGCTTACAAAAATGCATTAGCAAACTGGACACCCCTTTCAAGAAAACATTAAATTTTGAATTGATTACCTTGGCTTGTGTTCATTTTATTAAACAAAAAATAAGCTCCAAAGATGCCCACAAGTTCAGCTGCTAAAATGCCTTTAAAGATCTTCTTTGCCATTGGTTCCATAGTGCGGGTCATCCTAAATTTAAACCAATAAAATATATGTAAACCTGAATAAGTATATTCAAACGTTTATCATCATATAAATGACATATAAGATTGTCAATTTATTGCCACAGTTTGCATGATTATATAGGAAAATGTGCCCTTTACTCAGTTCCAACTTATAACGACCCTGTATAGGGTTTCTAAGAGTAGCTGGTGAGTTTAAACTGTCAACCTTTCATTTACCAGTCCAGTGCTTACCTTACACGGGTCCTGAAATTACTATGGATTTATTGTATTACACATGCCACACAACCTAGTTTTTCAGTTTCCTATGTCAGACCTGGTGTGGTGCTATAGGATAAGCACTGGACTGCTAACCACAAGGTTCAAACCCACCAGCCACTCTACACAGGTGTGGTATGAGAACTGATACGTAACAACATACAGTGATCAGCATTCCTAAGAGTCACAATGGAAACCAAAGATGCAAGAATGGATAAAGCACAGGAAAAATCAAGAAAGCATCATAAAAGTTTGGAACTAAGTTTCAAAAGCCTACCTAAAATTACAGGATTGTGGGAGGTATGTGAAATCACTTTTTAGTTGAACTACGCAGTAAGATATAAAGGGGCCCAGGTGGTGCAGTGGGTTAATAGTTGGGCTGCTAACCACTCAAAAGAAAGATGCAGTCTGCTTCCAAAAAGATTGACAGCCTTGGAAACCCTGTGAAGCAGTTCTAATGTGTCCTCTAGGGTCACTACGAGTCACATGGCATTTGCTTTGGTTTGGGTTTTTATGGGCACAGATCTACATCAGGACTTCCCACTGCCTTCGCATGTGTAAGTCACTCTGTGCCCACTAGGTTTTAAGAATAAAGTTATAGTTACTATAGCTCTGTGGTGACAACAATTGGGAGGCAATTAACACTTGGAAAATCATGCTTTCCTCTAGAGCAAAGGATAAGTTTGTTTATAGCCTTAGAATTCTGAGAGTGTTTTCCTTTAAAGCAAAGGGCAAGTATGCTTATTGTCCATTATAAAAGAGTTGGGCTCCCTACACATAGGATTCTTCGCCTGAAATGCAAATTGCAGAGTGTGAAGTTGTCATCCAGCCCTCTTCACAGAGTGTAGTGGTTACTGGACTGTGCAAAGCTGATGGAAATGCTGACACTCTGGCTGCTGCTATTGGGGTAATAAAATCCTTTGTCTCAGACCCATCAATTGTTGTGTCTTCTACCTGCATCTGTGAAACTAACAAGCTGTCTATCTTGTGAATAGGGCAAAATCTCAGCTCCTTCCCAATTCCTGACAAAGTTACTCAGTGAAACATAACAGAAAGCACCAAACTTCTGAGAGTCAATTAGCAACAACACCATTTCATCATGAATTTAATGTATCACTCAGTCTTGACAAATTATCTTAATAACTAATTACACATTTGCCATGTGCCAGACACTGTTCTCCAATGTTTCATATGTATTCCTCACTTATTCCAACAATACCAGATAGTGTGACAATTTATAATTAATAGAGTCCCAGAAATGTTAAATAACTTGCCTAAAGTAACATAATTATCAAATGGTAAAGGCAAGACATCCAACACCAGAACCTAGGCTTCTCACCACTAATATAATGGGTCTATTTTCCCATATGTAAAATTAAGGAATGAAACCAGATGAGATCTGAAATTCCCTTTCAGTTGTAACATTCTTTTTTTCCTCTTTTCAATTGCATTTTGTGTGTGTGTGTGTGTGTGTGTGAAATCTAAATATCAAATTGGAGAGTACTGACATTTAATAACATTGAGTATTCCAATCCATGGATATAAAATACTTCTCCATTTAAAAATATATTCTTTATTTCATCAGTGTTTTATAGTTTTATACATATAGATCCTATATATATATTGTTAAGACTCAAGAGCTTCACTTTTTTGTAATTAATGAGTTTGTAATTTAATTTTTCTTCTAATGTTCACTCAGTCCTTTCAGCAAATAATTGTCCAGTGCCGACTCTGGTGTCAAGGCAATTAAGTCAAGATACCTTTTCCCTCTATAAACGAGTGTAATGATGTCTGCCTAGTGTATCTAACAGGATTTTGTCAACCCACCAATGACAATGTGAAAACTTTAGTAAAGTACCTAGAAAGACAAGGTTATTCTCTATATACTTTTTATGGCTGGAGCTCTTCATTTATTTAATCAATATATTTACTGAATTATGTGTCAGACAATTTGCTAAATGCTGGAAATATAAAGTTACCAATAAACCGGTTCTTCTTCCCTAGGAATAGCTAACTAACAGTGTTCAAAAACGAATTGCACCACTCAAGAGACTTGCTAAAAAGGCATTTCTGGGTCTCAGTTTCCAATGCCCCACTTCTTCCTCCATCCCGTTTATGACTCATCACATCTAGGGTTGATATACCAGTAACCTGTCATTTAGCAGGCACCCCAAATGATTTTTATACAAGAGCCTTTAGATCACAGGAGAAAAACTGTCCTAGTCCACCCTTTCACTTAACTCAGCACTTGGTTTCTTTCAGTCTATCAGAGAACCTCAGCATTTTAAACTTTACCTAAATGCCATCCTTCCCTCAAATCCTATATCTCCCTTTCTGTGGTGAAAAGTCAGAGGTCTGTTCTCTGGTATATGTCTTTCTTGACACGACATAGTAGTAAACCTAACTTTGTTGGAAGACAGGTGTATAAAATATAAACTATATCCTTAATGGTATTGTGTGTGTATGTATGTGTATGCATGTGTATACAGTATTAGGAGCCCTTATGGCATAATAGTTTACACGTTGGGCTGCTAACCTCAAGGTCAACAGTTCAAATCCACGAGCAGTTCTGCCAGGAAAAGATGAAGCTTTCTGCTCCTATAAAGATTTATAGCTTCAGAAACCCTGTACAGGATCACGTTAAGTCAGAACCAACTCAACAGCACACAAACCACCACCATCATCATATATAAAGAAATTCATATATAAGTAAATATTTATGTAAATATATTTAACACACATGAGAAGACTTCAAAAAGTTCATGGGAAAATGGAATGAAAATGGAATTCTTCCACAAATTAAAAAAGTTTCTGTGTATATAAAAGTAAATTCTCTATTATGCAGGGTTATTTGGATGGTATGCTCAGGACGCTTCATCTCACCTTTCCATTTATAAAATGTTTTACTTAA